TGTCTGTATAAATAGTTACATTAGAATTTTCTGGTGCTGTTAACAATGCTAAGAAAATAGCTACTATTTCTGCCCTGGTTGATGATGGCCATAAAGATAGACATGAGTATACTGAAAATTCTCCTAATTCATTGTTTGTATAGAATGCTGCTCCTAAATCCACAGTAGTATTATCTGTTATATGTGAAAGATCGTTATTATTTATAATTCGATTAGCTAGTGATCCATCTATATAATATTCAATATTTTTCAATGACTTTAACTGATGTCTTATATCTGTAAATTCTTGTTTAAGTGTGATGTTACATTTCTTTGCAGTATAAAAATAAATAATAAATTATTTAAAATCATTTGTATTAATACAATCAGCTTATGCTATAATAAATTTGGTATTCAGGTTAATTTGACCTTTATTATAAGTAATACTTTTAACAGATCAGATTAAATTAGATTTTACTTAAATTTAAAACTGATCTGAAAATTATTTAATATATATATAATATTTAATAATTTAAAATAAATTTTTATAAACTATTAATATTTATGATTAAATTAATCAACTATTAATATATTTAAATAAAGTTTAAACTTAGTTTAAACTTACAGTTTAATTAATCAAATAATAAAATATTATTGATATATTTTAAAATAAATTGTATCAATTTTCACAATTTTTATTTTTAATTATGAATAAACTAATTAATGATGTATTTTGAGAAAAATTTAATTACCAATTGACAGATTAAACATAAAATCTAAAGTATTTACAATAAAATTGAATTGGATGATTGTAATTATTTGTTACATTATGGTAATAATAAGTTAGTTCAAAACATCCAAAAGATATCAAAAAGAAGTTAATACTCAATTTCTAATAATTACTTCTGGATTTTAGAATTCTTTTTAACTAAAAGGTATTAGAAACAAACTGTATAGTGTAGAATTATTTCTAATTAAAAGAGAAAAAAGAAGAATTAAAACAGTAAAGTATTATCAGATTATAATATTAATGATGATTATAATGATAAATCTTTTGATAAAAGAAGAAAACAAAAAATTAGATTTAATTGTTTTAATTCCTCTAAAAGAATTTCTAAATCAGTCCTATAAAAAATATTTTTGCTAAAATATACTTAAAATAAATTTAAAATTTTATTTTATACTTAAAATATACTGAAATAGGCAAAAATTAAATATCATTTAAATATAATTTAAGTATATAATAATATACTTAAAATATTCTTATTTTAAATATCCTTAAAATATACTGAAATAGGCAAAATTTAAATGTAAATTAAATATATTTTAAGTATATATTAAATACAATTTAATTCAAATTTTGCGAAAATCCAATTTTCAGTATATTTTAAGTATAAAATAAGAAAATTAAGTATATTTTAAAGAAAATAAAATATATTTTAAATATATTTTAAGTAAATTTTTTTTTATAGGGCAGGTAAATTTTGAATAGCAGTTTGTATACAATAAATAAAATCAAATCATACATTAAGGTTTTAAATTTATTAATACTTGCACTGATTAAATAATGTCAAATCAAAGACTAATCAGATGGAATTTAGGTTTAATAAAAATAGCATAAAAGCATAAAAGTAATCTACTTAAATTTAAAAATTAGAATTATGATTTTTTTAGCATCCAATAGTTCAATGTTAATAAACTTTTTTTATTTTATAGCTCTCACTAAGCTTTACAATTTTAAAAAAAGTTCATGTCAAAAATTTGTAGGGAATAATTTTTTTGAGTTTTTATATATTAAATGTCTAGGATCCTAATCAAATTATACTTTTAAAAGCAAATGTTAAAATTAGAAAAAAATATCTGTATTAAATTCCTCTTATTATTGCAACAAAAAAAAATAATTTAAAGCAGATATATATAATTTAAAATACTTTTAAAATAAGCAATATAATATTTTTTTTTTTTTAAAAAAAAAATTCCTATTATAATTTTACTATTCCAAATCCTATTAAATGATAAAACTTGACCAATACTATTATAACCAATTAGGCTAACTAATTTAGCTAATACATAAGATACGATTTATTCTAAAATTTGCAACCTATTTTAAATTCTTAGACCAGATTTATTTGATGTCCAAATCAAAAAGTAATATTAAATTACCATTATAAAAAATTATTTAGGTTAAAAGTTCGACTTGATCTCTAATAATAATATCAGTATTTTTTTTGTGCATTATATCATTATCTGGATCCTTAATACTCGGAATGAATATTCTGCGCCACGGCTGAAAGGAAGAATCGGAGTTTATGATCAACCAATAAATATAATGGAGCAGTCCTTATTATACTGTATAAAAGGTTTTCATTTAGAAATCAAATTATCAAATTTAACCTTCTTAGACTCGATAAATAATATTCAGAGAGCCGCAGAAGAACTGCCGGAAAAACTTCTCCATAAGTCTAACCTTTGAAAGTAAGTCATATAAGCCATACACCTTTGTTACTTCTCTCTCTCTCTCAAGAACAAAGTTTAAAAACGAGCAGAATTGTTGGTTTGAGCGCGTTTCGAGTTCTTGAAGATTTTGTGCGTGTTTTTTTTGTATTTATTGTTACTAATATAAAGAATTCGAGCATTCTTGTGTAGCAACAACGCAATTTGAAATTCAATAAGCAAGCCATTAAATGTAGTTGTATTTTAAATAGATATGTCAACAAAATCAAAAATACAAAACGTTATGTCACATATGATGACTTCAGTGGTTGGCTCCCATTCAAAGTTACATAGAAGGAGCGTGAAAACTGAAGAATGTGATGATGGTTACCCCCATTCAAATATACAGAAAGTAACTTCGAAGATTGAAATGACTGAAGAATGCGAAGAAGGTATATTTAACAAAAGCCGTTTTGTATGTTTCTTAATATGTAAACTAAATCATTCATTATTCCTTTAGATGGATTTGATCCTACATTACTGCCTTTGCCAAGTATGTCTAAATTCCAAAGTTCTGTTTTATACATATTTAAGTAAAACTCCTCGGTTCCATTCCGCCTACTCTTCCTTAGCAACATCAACCAAAACAGCTACTCAACGTATTTATAAGGAATTGAAAATAATTGTGCATAAACAAGACACGCCATCTAATGATTTGGGATTTTTTGTGAAACTTGACAAGTTGCGCTCTGTTTACCAATGGGTTTGTATCCTTAAGTTTAACTTTTGTCGATTCAAATTATACGATAATCAATTATAAGCTAATCCATGGATTTTACATAGGTTGTGCAACTCACAGACTTTGACCCAAATATTCCTTTGGCTCAAGATATGGCAAGGCATAAAGTTAAAAGCATTGATTTGGAAATTCGCTTTGCACCTGATTATCCTAACTTACCTCCGTGAGTTTTATTCATATAGAAAGAATATACTTTTTTAGGTCATCTTTATAATTTCAAATCTTTATTCTTCAGATACATTCGCGTAATTCGTCCAAGACTTCTCCGATTCATGAATGGTGGCGGTGGTCACGTAAGTGAAATTGATAAATTTAATTATTGTGTAATATTTTAATATATATATATATGTATATTTGTAAATTAGGTTACAGCTGGAGGATCAATTTGTATGGATTTGTTGACTTTGGGCAATTCTCATGATCAAGGATGGTCTTCACAATATACGATGGAAGCAGTTTTAATACAGGTCAAACTAGCGTTAAGTACTTTAAACCCTCCTGCAAGGCTTGACCGTAATTGGAAGAATGAATATACCGCAGTTGAGGCAATGAATGCTTATATTAGAGTCGCAAATCAACATGGATGGGGAATTCCGCCTCAATGGGATACTTTGTTCAAACGCTAAAGGATGTTATCTTTGATTTTTTTATTGTATAATGTTGTGCTTTGAAATATTAAATAAGAATATTTTAATGTATAATCGGCAATTATAGATTTGTAAAGAAATTATTTTATAATAAACTTAAAAGTTGCTCAAGAATTTTGTAATTGTCAATTCATTACAAATTTATTTAGTATATTGTCTAAAATTTTTTTTCTTTGTAGCAAAAGAGCTTGTAAAGAGCAAGTCGAATTTCATCCATAATGTGACTATGAATCAGTTTCAACAGTTTTTTGTTTCTTCTTTCTTTTTAACTTTTCTTCAACAGGTGGTACGAATGCTTTTTCTCTTTCTGCTTTACGTTTTAATGTATTCTCTTTTTGTCTCTCCTATTAAAAAAATAAAATAATTTTTCATAAAAAGAAACAAAAATATTTATTTATTTATGTGGATAGTTACCTTCTTTTTCTCCAATTCGTGAATAGCTTTTTCCTGTGGCTTAAGAAAATATTCACCAGATTCCAATTGCAAATCAACCTACAACAATATAAATCGATAAAATTAACTGAATTAACTGAGTTAATTATATATATATATAAAAAATGACAAAAAGAATTTCTTACTTTGCTAGGAGTTTGAGCAGGCGGGAAAGGGGTATATTCGTTCTTCTTTTTGATAACTTTCTTTGGTCTTTTAACATTTTGTTTCTTAAAATGAGGTAAAAAACGATCCCACGATTCATTCTTTAATTTTGGATCTTTAGATAGTTCTTTTTTTATCATTAATTCCTATTAAAAGTATTAATTAAAGTTAATTATAAACTTGCCACATATTATATACTTATATTATTAGTCTAATTATGCTTACTTTGATATGATAAATTGGATGAATATTTTTTATACAATCAATAACTATTCTTCTAACTTCTTTTAATCCCTTGTATGATCCCATAGCTGATACTGTATTTCCTTGAACCATCACATAACATTGAGTCAATAGCTCAATAGCCTTATTAAATATTATCTGGATTAGTATAAATTTACGATATAAAATCAAATAAACGTAATTATAAACCATAAATACTTTGAGAGTTGATCCATTTGGTCCAATTAATCTTTGTCGTCTTTTCACAAATCTTTCTTTATTTCCAATTATATTACCAATTTTAATAATATCACATGCTACACCGTCTTCAAGGATTTTAACAGCCTAAATTCCGTATAATAAAAAGTTAATTCCTATCAACGAAGCATATACAAAATTAGATATAAATTACCTGAGGAAACGGAACGCTCCTAGCCAGAAGTTTAATTAAATCACGAGCTTTCATAATTACATAGGGATCATATGTTTTTCGTGTAGTTTTTACTGTCATACTACCTTCTATCAAATCCAACACGCATGCAACTCCCTATTTCACAAAGGTTTATAGCATTAAAAAAACTACGTCCATTCTTTAAATAATTTTCTACAATGTATACGTACTATTTTCTCTAAAGCTTTGGTGACATGAGACCATACTTCTTTTAAATAATTTTCACGATATTTTGGAAATAATGTTGCAAACGACGACTCTTCTGTAAATGGATATGGGTTATCTTCTCGTGTGAATGGTTCGATTTTCCAGTGATTTATATCATCAGTATCCCATGCTATATTGAGATGAAAGAAACCGTTTTAAGTAAATATTTGTGCATTAAGTCAAATAAGATTATTACATTTAAATATTCGTACGTTTGTCTTTACGGTATTTTTTTGATTTAGGTTTTGCTGTACTGTGTTTTTCGTCTTCAGCCATTTCTTCCCATGAAAGATCAAATTTCCTAATTACCTTTTATTGGTTGTTGAATTTTTAGATTATCGAGATTATCAAGAAATTATATAAATATCAAAAATTACATTTAACCAGTTTAAATCTTTCAATATGATATTTATTAGTTCAGTTCGTCTTAGGTTTATTGCCAGTAATTTAGCTAAACAATGTAAAAATACTATAAAATTTAACAAAATTCCTAGTAAAAATTTATTTCAACTTGCAATTGATGGCCCTGCTGCTTCGGGGAAAAGTTATTATTTTTTAAACTATATATAGTTTAAATGGTTTCTTCTAATAAGTTATTTTTTAACAAAAAAAACTTTATCAGGCTCTACTGCTAGAATTGCCGCTCAACGGTTAAAATTTGAATATATCGATTCAGGTAATAATTAAAATCATTAAATGATTGGTCAGTTTTTTATTTTAATAATTGAGAATTCGAATTCAAATTGAAAATATAACAGGAGCCATGTATCGGGTGGTAATTGTCTAATTGTAATCCATCAACTTTAAACAGTATCATCTCCAATACTTTTCTTAATTTAATTAATTTATTAATACCCAGGTAACGTTAGCGGCACTTCGCCAAAACTTATCCCCACTTTCACTAGATGATGCTTCAAAAATAACGTATTTAGCTGCAACATCTCATATCTTTCTTCATACAATATTTAACCCGCCTCCAATATCCCACACTTCCTCTTCTAAACCATCATTACCACAAACACTAGTATATCTAAATGGGGAAGATGTAACACATGAAATCAGATCACAGGAAATAACAAAAAATATATCTGGTATAGCATCAAATCCAGATGTTAGACAAGTGTTAGTAGAAAAGCAGCGTGCCCTTGCTAATGGTATATATGATTATGAAGGGGAAAATTCTTCATTTAAATTGGACACGTTAAGGAAGTCACCGAAGGGAATTGTAATGGATGGTAGAGACGTTGGTACAGTAGTACTTCCAAATGCTGATTTAAAAATATTTGTGACAGCTTCAGCACGAGTTCGTGCAATTCGACGGTATAAGGAGCTTCAACAGCAACAATCTACTATAAAAAAACCTTTAATAGATTTTAATAAAGTATTAGAAGATTTAGAGAAAAGAGATAAAAGTGATTATGAAAGAAAAATATCTCCTTTGAAAAAAGCTGATGATGCTGTTTTATTGGATACTAGTGATATGAGCGTCATGGAACAAGCTGATAAAATTATTGAGCTAGTTTTAAAAAGAGCTAAAGAAAAGAATTTTGATTTATAAATGAACAGGGGAAAATGAAAACAAATGTAAACTACTATCTTTTTATTGGTTATCTTTTATATTGGTAACTTTACAACTAATATAATTGGATAGTAGAATAACAAGCAAATTTATCAAAAAGCCATCATTTTGATGTATATTATGAAAATTTAACGCTTCAAATAAAACACATTATTGTAAAATTCAATATCTTCTTAAAAATAAGGTTCAGATATATGTTATTCTCTTTTTTTCTAAGAAATTAAAATAATATTTTACATGCTTTTCATCCTTAAATTTTTCAAATATATATTTTTTATTTTATTTCTTTAAATTCTTTATTTTTTTCTTTTTTTTCTTATCATTCTTTATATTTTTTATTTCTTATAATTCTTTATATTTGTTAATCTACTTGTATATTATATTTAGTTTAGTTTTACAATGTATTGAATTGTATTTAATAAAATAATTTTTTTTTTTTTTNTTTTTTTTTTTTTTTTTTTCTGCAATGCATTTGATAGTTTATTAAATAGTAAAAAGAATCGGTACAATATAAATATAATAGCCTAATCTAACTATCTAATATTATTAACTACCAAACTATTCATTATGCTATATAGCACCCCATGTGTGCACTGTTGGGTGAAATTTTTGCTCAAAGGGTATGGTACGTTTAGAAATGGCCATTCTTAGCATAAATGCCTCTTTTTCTTCACAAGGCATTCACAGGACCCACTACATTGCGACCAAAAAAAGAAAAAAAGAATTATTTTGTAAGAGAATAAGACTATAATATTAGAAATCCCATCAGATCATTCCTCCCACAAGCAACCCAAAAAAGTAGGGATATGGTAGAATCTTCTATCCAAGTTATAGGATCTGTGATGCACACTATTAAACCAAGACTGACCAGCTGTAGAAAAAGCGAGCGGTTCCCATTTCTTAAGGTAGACAAGCAAGAGGCCCCATTTACTATTGAAGAGTTATGTGTAGTATAAACATGTATATTCTAATATCAGATGTCCTTTTGCAAAGCACAAATTCAAGAATACTGGTAGCTGCCACAAGACAGATATATCAATTAACATCCAAAGTAAGCTCTATTCAAACATATAAAAATGAAACTAACACTAATACTAAATTTAAAAAATAAGAAGGAAAAAAAGAATAAAAAAAAGAAAAAAATAGTAAAATCTGGGCTCTATAATAATATATTTTGTCTTTATTCTTCTTTCCTCGGGGTGTATAGGCACAGTTAAAGATGAGATCCAACGCTTTTATCGAATGTTGTTTAAAAAGAAATCAAAATCAGTTAGTTTTACAATATTGGAAAAAGGTTGGACTAAATGTAATACCAGATAAGCCGTTAAAAATCCAAAAAAAGTTATTCATTCCGTAATTTAACCCAAAATGGAAGTTATCTTTCATATTAAAAATAATTTGTTGTGATGCCAGCAAGTTGCGAAGAACATCCAGAAACGCGTCAAGTTTATGACGTGATCTAATTCAAAATTCTTCAGATGGTATCCTAATTGGTAATTTTGTGATTTGACGAATAGGAAATGCTAGCGGATAGAAGTAAACAATAGGCACTGAGGAAAGTATTGTAATTGTAGTAAGAGGTAAAGAAGAGTCACATCAAAAACGTTCCAGTAGGCTAGTGAAAGTCTCCCAGAGGTAGTTCTTCATGTAGTGCTTAAGATGTTGTAGAGCTGTTATGTATTTCTTAATAGCTTTATCTAAAATATTAAAAAGCGTCAGTCTGTTGAAATATAAGAAGTTTCGTTATAAATAGTTGACAAAGTCTTTGTTAATTAAGCTTTTATCGTATATATATATGAAGTCAAAATTAAAGCCCAAAAGTAGAAATATTTCGACTTGGGAAGGTCAAAAGTCGAAATTAAAGTCGAAATGGTCAAAATTAAATCATAGTTATGTGATTTTTATAATTATAATTTAATACTAAATTTTAAACGTGAATAACTCAGTCAATATTGATGCTACAAATATGAAATATATATCATTGGAATCCTCTCGATAAGCTGAATCCAACCATATAAAGATCATAAAAATCGAATCACTGGATGTGGAGTTCGTTAACTTTGAATTTTAATATTATTGTTTACTATAAAATCATATGACTATGACGTAATTTTGACCATTTCAACTTTTGGAAAGGCTCAAGTTGAAATCATTTTGACCATTTCGACCATTTCAGAGGTCAAAATTAACCAATTTTAGTTTCATGTATAGTTGTATACTCTTTCCATCATAAAAAGTTGTTGCTTAATATTCTTGAAGTCGTAAAGTATTTGCTTCCATATTGTTATTGCTAAAGTTACGTCATTATAATATGTTCTGTTCTTTAGTTCCGTCTTTGTGTACTTCCAGTCCAATTTTTCATTATCCTGCCTTTACATCAAGGATTTTTGCCAAAGCTCAAAAATAAAAAATTACTAATACTATAGTGAAAGGGTAATAATATTAAGGATCATTTTAACATTCACTGGAGGTGAAATTCACTATATCACATGATATTTATTATTATATTAAAATTTAGTAAAATTCATCGCATCAAATTTTTTTTGTATTTGAATAAACATGTAAAAAAAAGTTTTTTCTATTGACCATTTAAGCATAAATTTTTAAAGTTTTATTAACAAAAAGTTTCTTTTTAAATTAACATAACTTCAATTAAACTATTATACCCATCCACTAACCATTTAATCTAGATTTTTCATTAATTTAAAACCTATAGTAATGCATAATATATAATCCTTTATAATAATGAAAAATGAAATGAAAGTGAAATAGGTTGATGAAAATAGAAATGGGATGATGTAAAACAAAATGAAACAATAAAAAGTGAATTGAGATGATGAAAAATAAAGTGGAATGTTGCAAAACGAAATGGAGTGATGAAAAATGATATGGAGCAATATTGAGTGATAAAAACTGATATGAAATGATATGAAGCGATATAGAGTGATGAAAATGATATGAAACGATATAGAATGATGAAAAATAATATGGAGCAATATGGAGCAATATGGCATGATGAAAAACAATATGAAGCTAAGGTTGCTTGTCTAAACCTCTTCAAAATCTTACGATTAGTTTTGTCAAAATTTTACTATAGATTTATTATAGTTTTGGCAGAGTTTCGGCAGTTTTGGCATTTATAATAAGTTTTGGCAGTTTCACCTTTCTCTAAAGTTTCGCCAGTTTTTTAATATAACTTTAATATAGTTTTGGCAGAATTTTGCTTTTTGGTGAAATGCCATCTTACCTAAACCCCTAGGTTTCGGCAAGTAACTTTATATGAAGCAATATAGAGTGATGAAAAACGATATAAAGCGATATGAAGTGATGAAAAATGATATGGAGCAATATGGAGTGATGAAAAATGATATGAAGCAATATGGAGTGATGAAAAGTAATATGGAGCAATATGGAGTGATGAAAAGTGATATGAAGCGATATGGAGTGATGAAAAGCGATGAAAAGCGATATAGAGTGATAAAAAGCGATATGAAGTGATGAAAAATGATATGAAGTGATATGGAGTGATGAAAAACGATATAGGAGTGAAAAGGACAATGATAAATGAAAAGGATAATTAAAAACAAAGTGGAAGCAAAGGGAATGGTAGAAAAATAAAAATACTAGCAATAAAAGTGAGTCTTACCTTAACTTCTTGAAGTTATTTGAAATTGTTGTTTTCTGAAAAACAAGTTAACAAGTTAGCATAAGAGAAAAAGAATATTAAACTAGCAAAGTAATAAGAAAATAAAAAAATCTTACCTTAAGAAATTCCAGTAAAAGCTGGTCATTTTGAAAATAATACTACAAGAAAGCAAAAAACAAAATATGCGTTACACGTTTGTGTAATATGAAATCACCTGGTGAATTTCACTGGGGTAAATTTAAAATTTTAATAATTTTAATGCATTGCAGATCAAAGTGAAATTCACCAGAGGTGAATATAAAATTAATCCTAAAATAAATATAACTAATATTCATTATAATAAAATTTGTTCTAAAATTTAGCTTATAGTAAACTTTTTTTATTTTTCCAATTTACTTACTAATAAATCTTATTTGTTATAGTAAACTTATTAATAAAATTGATATTAAATATAATAAACTTTTTAAAAATTTTATATAGAACATATATCATAAATTTATATTTATTATAATAAATACAATAATTGGATTTCTATAAGATTACTTACTTAAACCTTTCCAGAATAGTTTCTCTAAAATTTTACTATAATTTTGTTATAGTTTTAGTAAAGTTTTAGCACACAGTTTTAGCATTTATAATAAGTTTTATTAAGTTTTACTTTTCTTCAGAATTTTGTCAATCTTTTAATAAGACTTTTATATAGATTTGGTAAAGTTTTGCTATTTTGGCATTTTACAACCTAGTTAAAATCCTCTAGTTTCTTGAGCAATCTTAACTGATACTATTATTTTAGGGAAAATATATTGGTATATCAAATTATTATTAGAATTTAAAATTTAAATGCATTTGCGTTTGAACGCACCCCTTTTTTGAAAATTTTTAAATAGTAAATTTGTCAATCAAAAAGGGGGTGTGTTGCAACGCACCTGCATAAAATTATTATTTCCTTAATTTATTTAAACCAATATTATAAATTTAACCAAAATTAATATAAAATAAAAGTACTATTTAAATTACATATATAATATTTTAATATATAAGATTTAATTAGTTATCTGAAGTTTATATAATATTAACAAAAATTGGATTTTGGCTCATATTATGATTCACTAATGATTTATATATAATAATAAAGGTTTAAAATTTGAATGCACCTGCGTTTAAATGCATCTCCTTTTTTGGAAATTTTTAAATAATAAATTTGTCGATTATTTATGATCACATTATGATTAGCAAATTTACTATCAAAAAAAGGGGAGTACGTTTGAGAAATGGGTCACGTGTAATGATGCAATGACTGTGTGACATAAAAATCTATATTAACGTCCAGTAATTTCTAGGGGTGTGGGGGGTCCAACTGGTTGGTTACACAATATAATTTCGTATTACCAAACTGTCCCACTACCGTCACCCCTGAATTTTATTATTTTAATATATCCAAGACAACATTCCAAGCCTAAAACTTTTGACGCACAACGTTTCTAAAAGCCGATGTTCGAGAGTAGATTAGTGTTGGTAAGAGTCATATATTGGCAAATTTTCATGACTATTAGAGCGTTATTGGGTTTCTCAGGTCAAAGTTTTAATATAGCTTATTAGAAAAACTATTATTTCGAAATATGTATTAAAAAAATTTTTTTAAAAAACAATGAAAAATATGTTTTTAACAATAAATATCACTTTTATATTAAAATTTTATTAAATACATTCTCTGTTATTAGTGAAAACTGCATACAACTATTTATTGTAGACATTTACTATAGACAATATTTTTTTCAGTTTTTTTTTAAAAAAAAAAGGTTTAAAAGTTATTATAAATTAAAAGTCTATATAAATAACGTTTTCTTGTAATAAATAAACTTGTTTTACTTGTTTTAGACTTCTAAATATTGATTTATTCATCATAAATACTAAAATAAAACCGCCGATGTTGTTTTTTTCTTCTCAGAGAAGGTCCAAACATTATTTAAAGTACTTGGACGCGACAAAACAGACGTAAAGATCACGTTTCAAGGATGACATAATTGGGTGGCTGGTTTTTTTAATTGCAGGGGTATTTTGTTCACCGATCATCGTAATTTACTAATAACGTATATGAATTTATATGGAGGACAGTTTTGATTTATTAGACTTATTGTATATTATATTGTGTAACCAACCAGTTGGACCCCCCCACACCCCTAGGTAATTTCTTTCTTAAACAGAAATAAATTTTTATCTCACTCCAGATAGAATGTAGCACCATTTTTTTATCTGAGCCAGTATTACTATAAAATCGCTATGTCTACCTCAACAGCTGAACACGACTCTTACTTGGTTGAGAACTGGCAGAAACTCTTATTAATTTTTTGAAAGAGCAAAACCTCAAGCTCGACGATGATGACTTGGGAATACTCTGTAAAAAGAAAATAACCGGTCAAAACTTTCTTGACATGACCAAAGAAGATTTCAAAAAGTATGGATTGGAAATGGAATTGGCTATGAGACTCTCCAGACTCTCAAAGAAAAGCCAAAGCGTGTATTCTCCTCATACTTCAGCTTGAATGAGGTATTAGTGAAATATGATTTCGACTCTGATAGTATAGATTCCATCCCACTCTTCTCACCACCAATTTACGAAATTCAAGACGAGAATAAGATCTTTAAGTGTTGCATGGAAGAAATTTTGAGTAAGTTGCACTCATACGAAACTTTACAGCCAGACAGCTTGGAGTTCATGCGTAATGAGTATGTTGTAGCGCTTCTTCATGCTTCCATCCATATCATCATGGATATAACAAACAAGAAGCTTAGCATGCATCCTCAGTATGGAATAGTTGGCAAAGAAAGCTGAAGCTGAATAGAACCCGCTTACTTCTAATAAAGGTCTCTGGGCAAAATTTCAGATTTACTAGTAATTTTATCAACCTTTCTTATCTCATAATTTTACCATATATATATAGTGACCTTTTAAAATTATATTAAATTTTACCTTAGATTTTCAGAGACCTAAATTTTTTTAATTATTATTGCCGTTTTCAGAAATGTTGACAATCTGAAATTTTGACCATTTTATACTGAATACACTGAACACACCGTGAACACATACAAAAAATTATGCAAACTTGAAGTATTCATGTATAACTTTATATAAAAACTATTTTTGTCACTTTTTAGATATGAATAAAATTGAAAATATGAAAATTTGTACTGAACATACACCGAACACAAATGAAAACACTGAACACACCGAACATTGGCAAATACAAGCAAATACAAGTGAATACATATATGCAAATAATATAATTTTTATACATTTTTTTATGCACACTACCTTAAAATATATTACTAAAGTTTTAATTTTGCTTTTTTTAAAGGAAAATTTGTTTTTTTTAATTTTAATTGCTGTGTTCAGTGTGTGTTCGGTGTGTTCGATTTATAGAAATGATTGACATTCTAATGTCAACATTTCTGAAAATGGCAATAAATAAACAAAATGTTTTATAATAATTACAATAAATTTTAAAAATTTTTATTTTTACTAAGTTTAATTTTTATTCTTTAAAGATAAATAACTTTTATTAGTAAAAAAAGTTACTTTGAATTACAAAAATACTATAAAAAAATCTTAAAGACACACATCTTTAACTTTACTTCAAAACTATTATTCACTTACTTTCTTTAAAAAAATCTAATTAATTTTTTTTAAAAAAAAATAAATTTGTAATTGGTATTATTATGAAAAAATGCTTATACCCTATAATTATTAATCCAACTATTATGAAAATATTTATCTAAATATTTTCGACCTTGCTGAACAACTTTACTTAAGCATAAAAAAGTGATTTCATTTGACCAAAGTGCCCAAATTACGCCCTAAAATTACTGATCAGAAAAATAAAAAGAATTAAAAGTGCGAAAATTGCTCGTATTCTGCAAATATTAAACTGATTCTTATGAAAATTAATATTCAGGTAGTTTCGACCTCGCCGAACAATATTACATAAGCTTGAAAAGGTAATTTCATTTGACTAAAATGCCCAAATTATGCTTCGAATTTAATAAACAAAAAACGTAAATTTTAAGTTAATACTAAAATAAAAAAATACTCGTATTCAACAAATATTATGCCAACTGCTATAAAAATTCAAATATAAGTAGTTCGACCTTACTAAACAACTTTCTTAGATAGTAAAATATGATTTGATTTAACCAAAGTACTGAAATTAAATTCTGAAGTTATATGAATTTTTATATTTTAAAAGCTAATTTTTGTAATAATTTTCAAAAAGATAGTGCTAATGCAAATAAAACTAAAAATATAAAATGGTTTTTGCAAGTATAAAGAGAATAAATTTTTTATTTTGAGAAAAAATTATAAAATGTATATTACCAAATATTGTAATAATTGTTGTACAATATTTCAGATTAGTATAGTCTAACCTCGATATACCGATATTCAATATACCGATCTACTATTAAAAACTTGTTATACCGATAAAATTTTATTTTTCCACTATATGTGAGGATATATAAATATCGGTATAACTTTGATATAACGATATTTTCTAAAATTTCATATATGTCCCGACATATCGTTATATAAAGGTTTGACTGTATATATAAGGTAAATATTAAATTTTATATACAATTTTACTTTATTATTTACCGAAACATTTGTAAACTTATATTTGATTTTACCTTATAAAACCAGAAACCTATTTTAACTTTACCTTACATATCCGGAGACCTTTATTTGTTATATATATAATTTTACCTTTATCTATTAAGAGACCTAAAAATTTTTTTTAATATAAATTTTACCTTATATTTTTGGAGACTTCTATTAGAAGTAAGCGGAGTCCTAGCTGGGTTGATTATACAATTAAAGTAAAATTTTTTGCTACCCAAACTTTATCCTCAATCATACTAACTTATCACTAACACGAACTGTAAAAGTATGAGAGTAGAAAGCTGAAGACCTTATTTGTATCTAAGGTTGCTTGTCTAAACCTCTTCAAAAACCTACGATTAATTTCATCAAAATTTTACTATAGATTTATTATAGTTTCGGCAGAGTTTCGGCAGTTTCGGCATTTATAATAAGTTTTAGCAGTTTCGCCTTTCTCCAAAGTTTCGCCAGTTTTTTAATATAACTTTAATATAGTTTCGGCAGAATTTCGCTTTTCGGCGAAACGCTATCTTGCCTAAACCCCTAGGTTTCAGCAAGCAACCTTATTTGTATCATAAAAGATAAACAACATAAGGTCCCTATAGGTTTTGCTCAAAATATCAAATAACTTAAAAGTGCATACAAGATGAACAAGAGGAAGAGAAAGCGTGGTAAAAATAATTTATGGTATCATCACAATAGGTCAAGACTGGCACTTCCTTCTATATAGCCATAGAAAAATATCCAAAGTGAGTGACACTGCGTATTCGATCAAATTTGCTAAGAAGGCCTTAGAACTAAACTCAAAGTTATACCAGGACCCCGGATATCTAATATAAAGGTCATAATGACCTCTAGATGTGTATAAGAGACAGAAGCAACCTTATTTGTATCATAAAAGATAAACAACATAAGGTCCCTATAGGTTTTGCTCAAAATATCAAATAACTTAAAAGTGCATACAAGATGAACAAGAGGAAGAGAAAGCGTGGTAAAAATAATTTATGGTATCATCACAATAGGTCAAGACTGGCACTTCCTTCTATATAGTCCTGGAAAAATATCCAAGGCAAGTGATACTGCATACTTGATCGAATTTTCTAGGAAGGCCTTGGAACCAAACTCAAAGTCATACCAATCATTATGTGATAGCGTGAAAGAGGTTTTAGGTATAATTGTGAGTTTGTTAATGGATAAGGCGTATATGGAAAATGAACCAGACAGAAAGAGAATCAGGATAGAGGGTTATTGTTCAAAAAATAAGCATGTATAATAATAGCATAGTTTCATGTATCATGTATCACATGTATCACAGACAATGTCCTGAATTTTGTATTTATTATGTATTAATAAAAATTTTTTCTTGACAAATTTCGCTGACAGGCCAGTGAAAAATATGATATTATTTTATTTCATGCTTTATTCCTTCCTTTAAATGCATTTTTCATTTTTCATTCATATTTACTTATGTTTACAAAAAAAAATATAAATAAAGATTTGTATAAAATAAAGAATTAGACAAACAATTAGCAGTTCATCAACAAAGAATAGCAAAGAGTTAATGGAATTATTTAACAAATATTAGCAAGCAACTAAAAAAGAGAAAAATGAAACTAATAGCAACAGAAAATATTTTTAAGAGATAAGGCAGTTGATATAGTGGAAAAATTTTTGGGCAAAAAAGACTGATGAAAAGTTAAGAAATTAGCTATTTAACAGGAAATTAAAAATAGTGTATCTAAAACATCAATTAAGGCCAGTTGAAAGCAAACTCGTATTGAAAAACTTCATATATATTATGATGTACTATCTTAAGAGTGGTAGCAACATCATCAAGTCCAATGGTATGGCGTGACCTTTAGTAAAAAAAGGGAAAGAAAAGCATATTAAATAACGTTAAGGAATCAAAACAAAATTTCTTATACTTACCAAGCTGGAAAGTGACGTACACATTCATAAAAATCTCTTTCAGTTTGAAACATGAACATTGTATGTAGATTGAATAAGTCTTCACCACCTGAGTTTTGGATATATTTGATAAGATTGTCGATAGTATGTAATGGATTTCTGTCTCTACTTCTGTTTATATCAAATGCATCAAAGTTCCATTGAACCACAAGAGTGAGATTATCTTCTTTCATCTTGGAAATTGAGGTTACTAGGACAGATTTATTTATCTTGATGTCTTCTAATAATTTTGATTGATCTAAACACATTGAATCAAGCTTTAATATTTAATTTATACATTTAGAATATCAATGTGTTCATTACCTCCAAATAACTCGGTGAGTCTTTTTTTATATTTTTCTTCTTGTTTTACTGTATGTTTTATTACAACTATAAAAAAAAATAAAAAGTAAATACTTAAGTAAATAGTAATAAAATATTAATTATAAGGTGAAGGATAATTAATATTTTCAACCATATCAGGAGTAGAAGGAATTTCATAAAAATAACAATAATGAAAAAATTACTTTTTTTTACAGTATTTTCAATATTTTTCAACATTTTATATTGAAATAATTTTAATATTTCTGCAATAAAGAATTTTGCCTTTGAATACGATTTAGGTCACATAAAAAAGAAATATTTAATTTTTAAATACGATTCAGATCGCATAAGAAAGAAATATTTATATGATTCAGGTTATGTAAGAAAATCTTTGAATACGATTTAAGTCGCATAAGAAAGAAATATTTAATTATAGAGGTATATATATAATATATATAGGATTCTAATAAGGTCACCAGAAAATTGGGGTCCTATATATATATATATGTGACTCACTCATTACAGTAATGTATTAATTATTACTCAATTTTTGAAATCACATATACTTACAACTATATCACATCATTTATTTTATATCACTTTGGATTTGAACATGGCCCCTGAATACAAAGATATCACATTAAGATTACAATGAGTAAACATAGTAAATATCACATCAATTATCTCCTTGAACTTTTAGTACTGTACTATTTTTGTAACCTTGTACGAATTGTATCAATTATCATGACGAACGTCTGTGTATTCAGGAATCCTTGAGGTGTTCATGCACAGAACAGGTAGCATGGTTATAGAGTTCGATTCTCCACTTCTTGGGTCCTGGTTAGTGATCCCTGGTGGTTAATACCCACCATAAGGGGTAATCCTAAGGTTGCTTGTCTAAACCTCTTCAAAATCCTACGATTAGTTTTGTCAAAATTTTACTATAAATTTATTATAGTTTTGGCAGAGTTTTAGCAGTTTCAGCATTTATAATAAGTTTCGGCAGTTTCACCTTTCTCCAAAATTTCGCCAGTTTTTTAATATAACTTTAATATAGTTTTGGCAGAATTTCGCTTTTCGGCGAAACGCCATCTTGCCTAAACCCCTAGGTTTTGGCAAGCAACCTTAGGTAATCCTGAACAGATGCCTGCTACTTCCTGTCTGAGTGGTCACTACAAAATATACCACTTAGGTTCACAACTGTACTATTAGTGTTAGGTAATCACAGGCTGTAGTGGCCTTTGAGTGAGACCTTGTACCTAATATGGTGGTATGGAAAGGTACTAAATGGTTGATGTTACCTATCAAAAGTCTATTATGAAAGTAGGTGCTTTCTAAAGGTCATTAAATAAATTGAGTACCAGTATCATACAATGGGTACATCAGGAAATTTTATAGCGCGAAAAATTGCGTAAGTTTACGATTTTGTAAGTTTATGAAAGTTTATGGCATAATATTTCGAAAAATTTCAAAATATTACGTAAGTTTACAATTTCGTAAGATTTATGTGATATTACGGTTAAAATATTACGTAAGTTTACAATATCGTAAGATTTACGCAATATTACGGTCAAAATATTCTGCAAATTTACGAAACTGTAAACC